CACACCACATAACTCAAGCTGTTACACAGAACATGAAAAAGGAGAAAAAGAATTTTTCTCAGCAACACCGAATCTCAACCATTTCCATATAGAGTTGAAAATTAAATAACAGTGTCACAATACGCCAGAGCAGAAAGGTAAGAGACAAATATGGAATAAAATAGAACTTACTCTCCATCCTAAAGCTGCATTAGGTTTTTTTTTTTCTTCTTCCTGTTAATAAAGCCCTAACTAGGTGTATTGGGGAGAAATAATTTAGCTAATAATATAAAAATAATGGAAGAGGCTGAGGAAGAGACCACTAACTCTCTCAGCTGGAAAAAAGAGAGATACGAAGTGACTGAACAGAGAAAAACTGTAAGGACACAGAAGGAGCAAAGGTAGAGGGAAGGGATAGGAGGCAGACAACCTGCCAAATTAACAGAAACAAGCAGCCACTTTGAAGATGCCTGACAACTTTTTAATGTGAAACACTTTCTTTACTAATCCTCAATAGAACTGAATGAAACACACCATGAAAGAACAGAGGCAAGAAGGAGAACTTGCAAGTTCTGATTTATACCAGTGAGTGTACAAAGCCAGAGGACACCAGGGGCTTTGCTGGCTGATCAAGTAACAGTCCCACAGTGAGAAATTCTGGAAAACCATATTTATGTCCACACAAACCTTGGTAATGGCCACACCAATCCTAGAAAATTAGAAACCAGTTGATTTTGTTACATGCAGTAGGTACATCTGTGCCACATGACATAAGGTGTGAAGTCCACCCAGGAAGAATTCAGGGTAGGGGGAAGTGTAAAGCAGATGGCTTGACTTTATTGTTAAAGCTAGTGGGATTTTTAAGAATCAATCTTCTAATGGTCAGATTTAAAACTTCTTTAAAACACATGCAAACAGGTGAGACATTTTGCCTTGCCCAATATTTGGGTCTTTTGCCACTAATGCAGGGTCATTAGCAGTATTTATGGGCACAAGAAATTGATCCAGATGAACGTAAGCAACACACTGAGATGTCACAAGCATTACTAAAACACTGCACTCAATATGTGTTCCTTCTTCTGGCCACCCCTTAAGCCTTTTGTCCATTTGCTTAGCCTAGCTGGATAAACCAATCTACATCTGATGCTACCCATCAATCTGAATTTTAAAGCTAATACAAAGACATTTTATTTGCACACAGGCATTTCTCTCTTACCTCTCAATTCATGTCAAAGAAGCAAAGAACTTTGCTAATTGTGGGATTAAAGTCAGGCTCCTTCAGTTTTTCTGCCTAATAAGAGCAATCATATCAGTAGCTGAAGTCTGGTCCTCAAAGAGCCAGGTTAGTCAAACATAAGACAGAAATCCAAGTGCTCTACTTGACAATGAATTAAGCTTTTGCCACAAATAGTACCTGAAATCAATTATTCCCAAATTATGTCAGAAAAGTTATGTATATCTCTGAATTCTTTTTCTTGTGAGGACAAAACACTGTGGTGACAGTGAAGACCCCATCTGGACAATGGTTTCCCTCTCTGCTGACCAACCAGAAGGCAACTGGCAGGGCTGAAGCATCTTTTGTGGGTACACTGCTGCACTGCACACAGCCTCCTCCTGCACACAGCCACACATCAGCAGGGAAAAGAGTCATTTTCTGGAGTTTGTTATAAGCTGAACTGGCTAAACCATACTGGCCCAAAATACTTTGCTGTCAAGGAATGGAGCTGTCCAAGCACAGAATATCTGAAGTCGACAGGAAAGATGAAGTGTCAGGGAAACTGAAGCTGCAGGCACACCTTGCTAGGAACAGGATCTAATGTGGCAACACTGTTAGAAGTCATAATTCAAAGCAGTAATAAACAAAATCTAACATTGGGAAAAGGAAAAAAAACAAAACGAAAACAAAACAAAAGACCACAAACCCCCCCCCAAGAAATAAACAAAAAAAACCCCCCAAAACCAACCAACCAACAAAACCACCACAGTGGAATCTTTTATAGCATATCTTAAACTTCTTCCTCTGACAATCAGTATTGGAGAAGTTATTTTTTCCCATAAATCTCAGTTGGATAATAAGTCTAATTTAACCTAGTACACTTCAGATTGGAATATAATAAATCTGTGGCTAAACTCAGTCTAATTGAAATGATGTTTTAATATATTTAGCACATTCTATACATTCTGTGTGTAGCCTTGCACCGATATGCAAATTTATCTAAGTTGATGAGGAAGCTGAAGTCTGCTTGATTTCCAACTTGGTCTGAAAATAAATTCTGATTTATAGTCTTGATTACTAGTCCCACAAAGGGGTAGAAGAGTCACAGTTTGACTTGTAGGCTTTTAAATACAATTTATTTTCTAGTGACAATTGAAGGATCTAGATTTAGATATAGCATAAAATCAAAACTAGGATCATAAAACAAGTATAGAAAAAAATTTCACTGTGGGGTTGTTAGTGCAGATTAAAATACCTACCACATCCTACTTGGGTTTTTCACATTGTTTGAATAATTACTACTAAGATTCACAATGTATTTTTTGTGCATTTGCAATATAATTCTACTAAAGGTATTAAGCTATTCACCAAGAACCATGTCATAGTTTTTTAATAAATGCAAAAATATCACATATTTACCTTCTGTCACAGAGTCAAACCCAGTCTTCCAATACTCTGGACATGTACCACAGGTGGACAAAAAACCCCAAGCCACCTCCCACAGGGCAGTCAAGCAGGAAACTACAGACATTTCTTTTTTCACCTGGAACTTTGCCTGTCCTTTTCAGCAACCTTTGAAGTGGCCCAAGTTGTCAAAACAATTTAATCTGCTCTGCAACTACTTGTTGATACAGCACTCACTCAGCCTTCACACAACACAGGTTCAGATAGAGTGCTTTCAAGTCTGTGGCATTAAAACATTACTGTAATAAATTTTAATCACCTATATAACAACATAGCACCTGAACTTGTGTCCCTCAGAGGACAAAAAGAGCAGTAACGTTGCCAGAAAGAAGGCAAAGTACACAAGTCAGAAGGGGGAAAGTCTCCCTTTGCTCTTCATGAATTACCACACATTTTCATTGTGCTTTCCTTGAGCTCAACACACAATACATTAGATCCTTTGTGACTGAACAGTGGGAGTCCTTTAATAATATTTTATAAGTGTTTCCTTACTTTTAGTAGTACAATTTCTTAGTTTTCATTTGTATTGTATCCAGTTATTATGGACATACTTCAAACATTGAATCTTATACTTTTTATAATTAGACTACCTTTTAGAATTTAGAGATACTTGGGCAGAGGACAATTTACATTTACCAATGCTAGAGATGCAAATTACTAATCTTCCCCTCCTTCTCTACCTCCCTCATGAGAGATTCTGGGCGCTCAGTTCACCTCAGTGTGCACTTTTAACACAGTACTATATGCTTCCTGTTATGTAAGATGAAAATTAAAAGGATTTCAGCATGCAACACCACAATATCCAAAAGTGGTAGTGTTAGGAAAAAGAACATGTTCTGCATATACAACCACAGAAGAAACATAACACCAAAAAAGTGGATGCATTTTACCAGACTTTGTATTTTAAGCAATCTTAAATCTCAACAACAGAAGAAAAGTTTATATTTTGAATGTTTTATTCCAGTCAAATTACAAATACAAGCATTTGAAAATGTACAAAAATAAAAAGGACATTTCCCTACATCTCACAAAAGCAGATCAAACTTACTTCTATATGTACAATCCTTTCAGTGAGAAAGCCTAATTAGTAGACATTTTTTCTGTTCTCTTCTGAGCATTCTATGACAAATCCCCTCCCCCCAAATCCACCCACACTAAAACCGAAAAGTAACATTTCAAAAACCTAATACACTAAATGTCCCTGAACAGATTACAAAGGAAAAATTCTCACAGGTAATAAACCTGTAAATGATATTGTATTTCCCTAATGACTTCAGGGCAAACTACATCCTGATGGGTAGTTTGCAAATCAAGTTTTATGTGGTTTGTTGATATGTAACTTGGACCACAGAGTTGGATTACATTTTTATTTTTAAGCCATTTTTACAAATTAAAAAACCAAACAATTATAGCCTTGTTAATAGCATTCTTCCTTCCCCTAAAGTTTTAACTCTTTCAAAAAAAAAAAACAAAAACCACCAAACCAAAAAAAGGGAAAGTATCTGCAAATAATTATAAAAAGCACTATAAGATTTTTTTCTGAATCCAAAATAATTGGGTTTTTTAGCAAAAGGGATTGAAGTGATCACCTGCTCAATACCACATTGTACTACTGAATGCAGAGGAAGCACTGCCACAGCAACAGTTTTGAACCATTCTATAATGCCTATTCAAATATTTCTGGTATTAAGTTTTGCTCAGTGATATTGATCAGATTATCTTAAGGCAGTATAGTTCCTCTCCATGTTCTGCCATTCGTTTGGCCACGACACTGTTTTCTTTCAATGCACTGATAGCTGATGCCTTTTGGAGCTGCAGTAATGTAAGGATAGGCGAGGCAATGCTCATGTAAATAGGTAGCTACTTAAACTAACATTATTGAAAAACAGTTTTGGGGGACACAAGCCCTTCTTTAGGTCTCAAATACAGCAGGAAACTTTAAAATTGAAAACAGTTTCTCAGTTTACATGAATGTGCCCAGTTCCTAAGAGAAAAGCAAGGTGCCAGTGCTTTAAAGATAGCTCCCAAGAAGCAGGCTCTGTCCAACCTTTCTTTTTGCCATTCCTTCAGCTGTCAACTTCAATCACATAATTTAGCAGAAAGCTGCTTTGCAAGAGAACAGCTAATACCTACTTCTACAGGGTCCAGAATACAGGTACCCACACCACAATCTTCTAGCTGCTACCTGTAACAAACTAGAAACATTTAATTTACCTGACCTAACTGTGGACAGGGATCTCAGGGATCTCATGTACTGATGGAGATGAATGCAGGTTGAATACAGGTGCCTGCAGCACACTCACCTATGCTAGCCTTGAATTCTGCTGCTTCTACAGCTCTACCGGGTCCAGAATACAGGTACCCACACCATAATCTTCTAGCTGCTAACTGTAACAAACTAGAAGCATTTAATTTACCTCACCCTACTGTGGACAGGGATCTCATGAACTTGTACTGTGATGGAGATGAATGCAGGTTGAATACAGGTGCCTGCAGCACACTCACCTATGCTAGCTTTGAATTCTGCTGCTTCTACAGCTTGACTCTTGCCTGTAAAAAACCCCACACATCTGCAGAGAAACACATTAATATCCCAGAAGTAATGTTCAATTCTGTACAATGGGTAGTTCAGCATGACACCAGGCATTCTTAACATTTTGTCCTTCATGTCATCTGACTGAAAACCATAATTCTGTACTTATGTCCTTAATGTACTTAAGAATACTCAAGACTGTTAAATTTCTCTGGCAAATTTTAGACACATCACGTTTTTCTACTGCCTTAAAATATTTTAAGATTGTCTTATGAGCTTATTTTAGCACTAACACATTATGTACATATTTTTACTTGCTAAATATTTAATTTCTAGTTCACAGGAAAACTTACTTTTCTAGAAAGATCCTGAGCACATTTTTTAAGCATTACCACAAACACAAAAGACTCATGTGGGATACTGTTAGCACTGGTAATGTCAGGATGTTCTCCAGTTAATTCACACTACTGGTTAAGATTAAAGGACAGTGCTAACAAGCATTTGAAGTGTATTGAAGCTTTTATTTTCTTGCTAAGACATAAGAACACATCACAGGCAGTTCTGTTGGAAACTGAGAAAAAAAACAAGGAATGTATCTATTATCAAGGAAAATAAACTCTGCAGCATCTAAAATAGGAATCATACTTGGGAAAACAGCTAAATAGCAGTTTAACGGTAAGATGTAGATTCACAGAAGACACTTAAAGAAAGTTCTTTCTGCCTAGTCATCTACCTTCAGCTAAGTTTCATGTAGACCTAACAGTAAAACCAAAGCCAGCAACAGGCAGAATCAATAGACAATAAAGAGTTTTTGATGTTAGGTAATTGCTTCACTTTTAACAAGGTGGGAAGACAAACAGTGTAGTTTATGGACCAGCCAGTCAGTATTTGAGAGGTAGTCTAGTTTTTCATTTGACTGAGAGAGGTAGAGCTGGTTGAGAAATCAATAGCTAAGGCCAGTCAAAATCATATCCCAAGTTGTCTAAGATAGCTCAGCCTGAGACTGCTAACATCACAAGGCATTCAGTTGTCTTGCTCATATTTATTCACTTTTATAAGCGTAAGGTTATTGTAAAATATCCAGAGAGAATGCTCCCAGACTTAACCAGCAAAAAAAGCTTAACTACATTTTGGCATGTGCCAACCAATTATACAGGTTATACATATTATGACTCTGAAGGTTAATAAAGCTAAGTGTCTCTCCTTATTTGGCAGATTGATATTACTACAAAATCACAGACATACCAAATACTAGAGGCAAGTTTTTAATTCCATATGGTTTACCTGTATAAAATTCTCCATACATTTTTTTCACACATTAAAAACCCCCAATTATTTTAGAGATGAAAGCCAAAAAGATGTGAAAGTCATAGAGTCAACAGGTAATAAAACCCTTGTTGAAGACATCTGGGTACAAAATCATACATAATGCTCCCTTGGATTGATGTAGGCTCTTCCAGGTCCTGAGTTTTGTGGGTATCTGTTGCTCCAATTTTTGTAGTAAGTTTGCTCATAAACAGGATACATAGGCTGAAGACCCTCTTGCTCCTGTGGCTCTTCAGCCCCACAAGTAAGTTGCCTTTCATTCACAGCTTTCTAAACACACACAAGAAGTAGTAAGTTTCATAGTTCATGCATAGAACCTGCAATTCCTATTATTGGTAAAGCTTTAAGCAAAATCAAAGATACATGATCTCCAAGACAATCCTATGAGTAAAGAAACAGAAATATAAAAATTCCACTAACAGAGTTAACCTCAAATGTTTGTTTCAAATGAAGCTGGACTCTAAAGCTTGATAAATCTAAAGAGCAAATCATTAACTACACAAATGTCTGTCAACATTCCTCTGGTTTCTTTACGTTACTGAGAATTGAAAGCTGGAGTGTTTAAGTATTTAAATTAGTCATCAAACTACTATAGGATATTCAAATGGTACTGCCACTTTTCACTTAACTCACACAATCCAACAGTTATTGACCAGGATGGACAAATATTTTTTTGTTAAAGAAAACCGACATAATAAGTTTATTTCATGGAAAAACATGAAACCAAAGCTTCAATCAGGAATTCAAGCCATCTTATTATTTACCATGTGCTGCAAGTTTCCAGCATCTCTCTCTCTGTACTGGCTCTGCAAAGCAAAATGTTCTTTCTGAAAGAAGAAAAGTTACAGGGGAAAACAAGTCAAGATTCAAAACTGCAGAACAGTTTTGGTTAATACAAAAAGACACCAGTCATCCCAAAATACACTCTGCCTTAGGAAGTCTTAACTGGTTATAATTTCTATCTTAACTGGTTATCATTTAGAATCCTTCTTACAATCCAATGGCTGGTGGAAAAAAGATGAGGATCAGTCAGGGTCACCTGTCCTAGCTGTGTTTCCTCTCCAATACCTTGCCTCCTTTCCAGTCTTGTGTGTACACCCCAAGTCCATCTGCCAGGAGGGCAAAACAAGAAGCAGAATAGGTCCTGATGCTGTCCAGCAATAAAAAACTTCCAGGAGTTATCAACACTATTTTCAGCACAGATCCCAAACATGGCCCCATACTGCAAAGAAAACTAGTTCCACCCCAGCCAAACTGTCCACCGTAGGAGATGAGGTTCAAGACCATTTAAGGAATCTGGAGGTGAAGAAGTTCATGGGACCTGATGAGATACATTTGCAAGTTCTAAAGACACTTTCACGGGCCACTATCCATCCTGTATTAGAAGTAGTGGCAGGACTGTGGTTCCCACTGTCTGGGAAAGGGGAAATAATACCCCCACGTCTTAAAACAGAAGATGAGGAACTACAGGTCAGTCACACTTCAATGCCCAGCAAGATGAAGGAGCAGAAACTATGCTAAGGCATATGGAAAATAAGGAGATGGTTGGTAAGCATTGTCATGGTTTCATTAAGGGCAAATTGAGCCTGTCAAATTTAGTGACTGTCTATGACAGGATTATAGTGCTGGTGGAAAAAAGAAGAGCAACTGATATCACCTACCTGGACTTGTGCAAAGCATTTGATGCTGTCTCACATGACATCCTTATCTCTAAACTGAGGAGACATGGATTTGATGGGTGGACCACTCAGAGGATAAAAAACTGGATGGTCATGCTCAAAGAGATGGCTCATCAGTGGCTCAAAATCCAAGCAAGGACCAGTGACAAGTGTTATTCCTCAGGGGTCTGTATCAGGACCAGCACTGTTTAACATCTTTTTGGCAATGTGACAGTGGGATCAAGGTACCCTCAGCAAGTTTGCCAATGACACCAAGCTGTGTGGTGTGGTGACATGCTGGAGGCAAAAGAATGCCCTGCAGAGGGACCTTGGCAGGCTTGAGATGTGGCTCTTGTAAACCTTGTGAAGTTCAACAAGGCCAAGAGAAAAGTCCTGCACCTTTCAGGTGCAATCATACACACAGGTCAGGGCAATCATAAACACAAACACAGACTGGACAGAGAAGTGATTGACAGCAGTCCCGAGGAGAAGGACTTGTGAATGTTGGTGGATGAGAAGTTACTTTCTGCAGAAGCATTAAAATCTCCCTTCTTTCACATTTATCTTTTTCTTCACCATTGTGATAGAAAAACTTCATTTGTGAAATGGGCTGTTTCCAAACATCCAGTTAATCACCAACTGCCTGAGTTAATGGCTGATCTAAATGACACCAAGTAATGCCATCTAAGAATTCTGATTCAGGATACAGTTTTTACTCTGGTACCATCACTCCCACTTAAGTTCTTCCTTTATGCCACACTTAGTATAGGACCGTAACAGGATAAAGCAACATCTTTGCACAACCGTATGTATTTTTTGTTTTACAGTTCCATATTTTCCCAACAGTATCACAGTGATAGCAACAACACAAAGTAGGCTAGGTTGCTGATCTTTGCACAGAAGTCCCTCCACAACAAGTATTCATACAGGTAGGTAACACTCCCAGTGGTCATACATCCGTATTCTTACTTTCAAGAATTATATTGAAGAGAACCCAATCTCAGTAATATTTTGTTCTTACTTTCTCCTCCTTCCCCTTAACTTTTTACCTTTCCACATTTATTTAGTTAAAGTTCTGAAGCAATTTTGAGTCAAGTCTTAATATGTAAAACTTAAAAATCATTTAATATTTCCTAACCTTCTCCACTCCTTCAACAGTTATTTTTCACTATCTTCACAGGTCTATTTTTTCAACTTTAGTTTGTCAAACTTTTTGTCTGGTAATTCTATTTCAAAGTGTCCCCTCCTGCCCTTAAAGTCACCATGCTTTTGCTTCTCAAGTCCTAAAATGCAGTCTGCATTTCTGAGAATATGCGATTTACCACTTAGCAGGCAGCATTGCTCTTTCATACCTGAGCTAAGAGCATGAGTTCACTACACAAGGAGGCAAAACACACACAGGAACAAAAGAATTTCCATCTCCACCAAAAGCTAATGCTCTTTAAACAAAAAACAACATAAAACAACAACAAAAAATCTGCTTGCTTGAGAAATTCTACCAAGAGTGGATGTGGACATGATTTAGAGACTCACTGGAAACCAGAACAGCAACACAGAGTTGGTTACTCAATTAAAACTAAGTCAAAGGAAATAATTTCACATGGCATGAAAAGACAATACCTTTGCTAAATGATGCAATTATATATTTTACAGGCACGGAGCAAGTGACAACCAAAATCATTGCATTCTGTCAAACAAAACTGGTGCTGAGCTACATAGTCTTTGTCTTCCTGCATAGAAACAACCTGGGATTCTGTGCTTGGACTCCTAACAGAAGTTTGCATTGTCTTACCATTACATTTTGCAGAGTTTCATAAAACCTCAGTTTTACTCTAAGAGTTCTCCTTCTCAAACAGTTCTTCGAAAGCCTAAAACAAATTATCTCACTAAAAACTTCATCTTCCCTTTTCTGATCCTTTCCAATTTAGAAATTCCATTACAAAGGCATCCACTAACAAAAAAAGCTTGTGCCTCATTTTAAACCCAACCTGGTAAATTTTTATTTTTCCTATTCCAAGATCCTTTATCAATACAGATGATTTTATTGATGCACATCTTCTGCTCCCTTCCATTCAATCTTGTTTGTCTAAACAGTTCTGTGGTATAAGGCAAATCATAACAATACTGCTTCCTTTTTCATCAAGGAAGAGATATTCCCACCTGCATAAGAAGTATGACGAAAAGAAATAGAAGTGTGCAAGAGAGCCATATCCTATAAATGAATCAGTATTATACTAGGTTTAAGAGTTCAGTGGCTGATGTTTTCAAATTTGATTCAGAAACATCATCATTTGATAAATGGTATTTGATACTTTTAATGGTGCTAAGACAACCTCACCTTTTCCTTCCTGCTTTGATCAGTAATACAAATACTACAGTTAAAGAACTTTGCTTGGCTAAAGAGTGAGGCATTCTTCCAAGCTGCAAGTCTCAAGTCAGTCTTCTCATGGCCAGACATACCTACTCTAATGATTCCAAGGACTGCCAGAATTAGTGCACCCTCTTACACTCCTTTTTAAAATATCATGTGATAGAAAAAAAATCCTCTTTAAGCCACTGGAATTCTTTCATTGCTCAACTTCTTCTTGATTCGCCTCAAAAACTGCATTGTCAAGCAGAGATTCCTCTCTCACCAAGGACATAACCTTCAGGCTGCTCATCACTCTTTCACATTACACGTAATAGATAGTTCTGAGCAACAGAATAGCATTTCCATGGCAATGATTATTAAAAGAACACTTAGACAAAAGTAACAGTGCTGTTGACAAAAGAGTTGACAAAGATGAACCTACAATCTCCATAGTAAATAAATGCATAATGTCATTTTTTTCCATAGTATTCTTATGTTTTGGACTTTTGCCTCCCTCTTTTAGGGCCATAAGTGAACCAGTTTTTCTCAGTTATAAATTTGTGTCTTCAAATACCAATACAGAGAAATTATGAGTGCTCAGTTACATAGTACTTGTACATACAGATAGCGCATTATTAACACTAGCATGTAAATGAGAACATATATTTAAAGTAAACTGAAAGGTTCCAAGTCTCAAGAAGTGTCCATGAAAGAGACTGGCCATCCACTACTGTCATAGGTCCAGTTAATTTCCCTTCATTTTAATACCATCACCTGCTGACTCAGATATGCATAAAATTAGTTAAATTCTGATTGCTGGGATACAAAAAGGAGAATTTCAGCATCATCTGCTGAATCTTAAATACTTTACAAGATAAAAAAAGCTACTGTACATGATTTCAGTACAGTAATAACAGCAGAGCTGATTGAAAAACTTGCACCTTATTTATAACAACTTACCAGAATCAGCCTAAATTGAATAAATCCACTTTCAATTCTAAGTTGTTCTGAGTATGCAGAAGACACCATTTAAATTCACTCTTCTTTACGTTGCACCTTTGTGTAGCCTATCATTTCCACTCAGGCTGAACTGATCATCTGTTGTGGTTGACAAAGCTGTGACATTCCCCCTACAGTTCTTTTCAGCAGATCCAGAAGTTTACATCTTATCTACCCAGTGAGAGGCTCACCTGGCATCTCATTCTGGGTAGGCATGAACAGCAACTGGAACATCAGCTAGCACAGTGGTGAGTACAGATATTTAGTCGCACAGGATGAGACATCCTGACAGGCTGCTAACTTGTTTCTCTTGCCTCTTTACAGCAATCCAAATGTAGGTTTGGTACACCAAAACAATACAACCAATCACTTCTTGGCTAAAGCCAGCATTTTGACATGTGTTTCTGTTAGATAAAATGAAGCTCTTGCCTCAAGCATAACACAGTACATACTGATTAGAGGTAGTATCAGCTAGGAAAACAGCCTCCAGCTACAGGTCTTTTTGGTTCTGGAGTTCCACAGAGAGAAAAAGACAGGTACACTAACAGTGTTGTGGTAACATCCATTTCTTAAATAAAATCTAGTTAACACCTAACCCGAAGGGGAATCTTTCTCCTCCCAAAACAACTTAAAACTCTGTTTATCCAACTTGTGGAAAACAAATAATCAATTCAGTCTCTTTACAGTTTTTTCTCTATTTACAAAATACATTTTCATAAAACATTGAATTAAACATTCCAAGACTACAGCCAGCTTCAGTATAAGTTTTTTACTACCCACTAACAGAAGCCACAGTAAGCACAACCTAGAAAAAATTCAAAGACAGCAAAGCTCTGAAGAGGAAAGCAATAAGGTACACATTCTCTTATGTCTACCTCCTTTATAAATTGCCCTGCAAAGGACCTGCAAATAATTGTAGGACCTCTGCAAATAATTGCATTTCCTAGTATTGTCATTTTGCCATCTAGCAGCACTACAGATGCACAAATAACACAATAGACAATATCTTTTGATTCTATAAGTAAGATAATATTTTTTCAAATACTTTAAGCAGAAATATTAGCAGAAGAATAATTCATCAAAAATTGCAATTGTTGAGTACTGCAGTAACAGAAGAAATAGCTATGATGCTCATCCTGAGCACAGAAAAGCACTTCTTTTGTGCCATCTTTGGTGCTAGACCACATTTAAGGTAAGAAGATGAAAACCTATTATTCTTTATGCCAACAAAATGTTTTCTACCTTCACAATGTTGTAATCATCAGGCTGCTACTACTAGATCCACTACTACCACAGCAGTGGATCTCAGAATAGTTTCCTGCTTCACTCAGCAACAAGATACACAAGTATTACCCATTGTAACATTTATGACACAAGGAAAACTTTTATCAGCAACTGATATTTGGTGAGCTTTAGGAACCATCAATCACAAAGAAAATCTACAAGAATATTTTCAATGTTATTAAGAACTCCATCAAAATCCTTCTCAAAGGTAGGTGAACATTTTATTTTCCCCTCTATGAGAAAGGACGTTTATAGGTCCTTACAGCTGCAAAGATACACCATAGTATTGGAAAAATGATATTTCTTATAAACAAATGATTGTTTTAATTAGCTCAGTGTTATGATTCATGCACATCAGTGGTCAGAATCACATCATTTATGGTATGTACTGAGGATGGAACAAAAATTTTATTAAAAACAATTACAATCTAATTCTTACAAATACTGATAGGTAACAGAAGTTTTCTTCAATGAAGCAGAACTCTAAAACTGATTAATTTAATATAAACACACACAAGACACTTTAGGGGCCATGGCCAGAATCTATAACTGACGGGTTTATTATATGAAGTGTAATAATCAATGATATTAGCTTAAGTCACCTCTCAAGAACAGGTCTCCTCTATAATGCCTAGTGCAAGAGAAGCCTGAATTCACCTGGAGTTTCCCAAGCACTCCAGTCCACCTCAAAACCATGCTGCAAGAAAGAATGTAGCCCTACCCCTCCTTGCTCCCCACTTACTCAAACTGTTTCATTTGCTAGAATCAGCTTTCCAGTGTGACCTCTACAAATCGGTTTGATCAGACTACACCCACACAAACATTAAATGCTGGTAAAGAAGTTTTTTGCCTATTGCTGTCTTGCTTGGACAGCATTACTTTAGATGACAAGAAGCTACCCCTGAAAGCACACTAAAAATTTAACTATTTGGCATGAAATTGGTATGGGTCTTTGCTGCTGGTAAATGCAGGCAGAAAAGATAAAATTAGAAGTTACATAATTGCAAATATTTGAAAGTGATTTAGTGGTCTTCAATGAGACTCAAATTCATACTTTGGTAGATTAGCCATGTCAAAGCCCAAATTCAATCTATCCCCACCCCTCAACCGTTAATAACTTAAAAGAATGGCAGTTGTTTCTAGCAAGAGAGCTTTTGATAAGGTCAGTTTTTAAGTTTACCAAGCATAATTTTTCTCTCTTATGAAGACTGCTTTATAAAACTATGTATATTCTCTTAACACAAAATTTCAACTATAGGTTTTTCTAATTCAAAAGGAGCTGTATCTGTCCAAGTCTATTAGAAATACAATATATGATCTGTCTACAAGTTTCCTGACCTCTACGGATGACTTTAACATTATAGATAAGAGATTCAGATATCACATATGTAGGGAAACAGCTTGGTTGTGAAACCATTGAAAGGCTTCCATATATTATCAGGAAGGCAAAATCAGACCAAGTTAACACAATAGAGCAAAGTTAACACTTTCCTTAAGTTAATTTAAGATGCATATAAACACTTACTCACCTGAAGCATAGCTTCTTTTTGTGGCACTGACATTGTTCTCTCCTCAAATGAGGCTGGTTTGTGAGTGGGTGGAAGATCAATCCTGTAGTAAAGAGGGAATGAAATATGACACATCGTGTTTGTGAAGTCCAATTGAATGGTCAGGTATTAACTGCCAAATCACCCAGCGCTCAATACTCAGGGACAAACACCTTTCAGTCAGCAATGACTCAGATGTGATATATTGTAATGGAATATGTCTACCACTGGCACACGCTTTTTGTAGAAAAGCACTACCCAGAATTTGTTATTTATGGCATCCTGAATTAAGCAGACTGAACTTCCCTCCATACACTCCAACTAAGGAGGATTAGAAACTACTGGTATCTAACACGTTTCTAAGTTATGAGATACAGCTTGACCAACTTTTAAAATTATAGGCTTCCCTTAAAAAACAATTACTTGAGAAAGCCTTATTAGCAATTCTTACATGCAAGACTTTTTCTATTTTAACTTTCTCAGTGAAAGCAAGTGGTTATAAAAGAATTCAACTGTTTAAGATGATTCATAGAAATAAGCTTCAGATACAGAATTTAAGAGAAACAATGGTAAAAGGTGCTCAAAAGAAGACTCCTGACTCATATTGCTAGCTCAATGCAAATGAGGAAACTTATTTTATGCTAAAGGCTTAGTTATTTTACTTAACTACATGAGCAACATTTCTAATTCAGTTTTAGTCTTAACTGTATATGGGATATAAGTAACTGTATATGGGATGTAAAAAGACCCATCTTTACAAATATTCCAAGCCCCTGTCACTTTTTAATGCATGTTCCAAACAGAATCTAGACATCATTCACTTCAACTGGCAACATCTTTCCAGATGTTTTTGTTTCCTTCTTTTTTGTTTGATCACCTTGAACAAAGTAAACTGCATGTCTGTGCCAGAGACTTGAAGAAACAACCAACATTCCAGAAAGCACAAGAAGTCAGTAATTTCTAAGCATGTATCTGTGGGAGCTTGCTTAATTTTACAAATATTTCAAAACTAATTTTAGGGGGCCTTCACATTTGCAAAGCATGGCAAATTTACTTGCAAGTTAGACCTGCAGTTACAACAAACTAGCAGTCACTGGCAACAGTCAAGAGGGAACCCTTTTTTGCCCTCCAGTTACAGCCATGAGTAGTTTTCTTTCAAAGAACTCCAAACTTCTCAAGAGATATTATATTACTTCCAAAGTAATTCTTACCTTCCTCATTTCTTTTTCAGAAATGTGTGATTTCACATTTGTGTACTCTGAAAATAGAGCCCTGAAATTACAAAAGCTGAATAGCTGCTAAATTAAGTCAGACACTTAAATTACTGTACAGAACAAACTCTTTCTGCATATCACTTTCAGCTGAATAAAAAAAAAGTCCAACACATACTCACACTTTGTCAAGATAGGCTGGCCTTTTCTTCCTTGGGGTCAGCAGCACTGTCACAAAGATGGTAATGATAAAAAGAGCAAGGACTGCTCCAATCACAGCCCCTGCTACAGCAACAGAAGATGTCTGCTTAAATGGCACATCTGCAATGTGATAGCATAGATTACAACTTTAAGAAGTTCATATACTTTCAATACTCAGATAAGCTACTTCAGTGTTGTTCTGAGAAACGCTTCTTCCTGCCACTGCCAAACAGAAAACCTTGCCCTGCACTAGCACTTTTGCAGTATTGCTTCAACTTACCCAACTAAAAAACTGGTGGAATTAAGAGAGTTCAAGAAATAAAAATTTTTTATTTCAAAAATTTTATGGACTACTTTTATTAAGTATCATGCTTTCATTCTTGATTTCAATGTAAATAATATTATGAAACATATGATTTGCACTTAAATAAGCTAAGAAGGTGTTAATTCAAAAATCTGGGCAGCTATGGTTTATTGACAATCTCTCTTTAATGACACTTAAGTTTGCAGAAAGCAAAAAAGAAAAACAAAATCAGGGTAAAAAACCCCATATACTAACTACTAGGAGCAATGAATATGCAAACAAACACTAAGTATTTGACTGATACTTATCAAAGCAAACCCTAAGACCACTTACCATTTTTAGGACTTCACACTCCAAGCTACAAGAAAGTAATTTTTATAAATAAATTTTAATAAGGAGAGAGAAAAAGCTGTGGTTGTTTGCTTTTACAGCATTTTTCTTTTGACCTTAGCATTGTCAAATCCAACACTGAACAACTCTCATACTGAACTAACATACTTGTCAGTCTTTAAAGGCCACTCCTTTCACTATGCTTAGAAATAAATTTTTAAGTCCCAAAACTGAAAAACCTGCTAACATACTTTAACTTAAAATCATCAGTGCTTTGAACTTGTGCCAACAAGCTCAACAAAAAGTTTCACAATTGGAGTAATTCATGTCAGCTGCACTAAACACTTACCTACAAAGTTCAGGCAGCGTACATTAAATGATGCTCTCATTTACATTGAGTACTGAATCAGAAAATTTAACAGCGAAGAAACTGAAAATTAACACAGTTCTATACCTTCAATGTATTTCTAAAGCAGTCCACTTTATTATTACTCAAATTCAACACAACCATTCTCTACTTAATCTCTTACCGAAGGAAATTTTGAGAACCTCTTCAGCTTTACGTTCTACTCACAGATAAAACCCCTGAAATTATGCAATATGATTTATCATTTCCTAAGATTTCTAATGTTGTTCTGCCTGTATGCTGGAAAGCTGAGCAAAACCCTTCAATTCAAAAAAAACCAAACCAAAATACATCGCTTGACTTGCACTCTAATAAAGCAATTCCTGTCCCCTCACTGCTTATCAAAGATCCAACATGAATATGCCCCTGGGATCGCACTCACAAAATATATTTAAGTAACTCGAAAAAAACTGAAATAAGTTTTTTTTTTGTGACTTCCTTAATGTTAAACATAAAGTCCTAGAGTAACAACTTGCAGAAGTTACTTTGCTCCTCACAGATGAATGCAACGTACCACTTTTGGTTTATGAAACCAGCCCCAACACCATAAACTGTCCTGGCTTTGGCTGGGATAGAGTTAATTTCTTCTCAGGAGCTTGTACAGTGGTTTGGTTTCAGCATGAAAAGAGTGCTGATAGCAAAAACCAAAACATGGGTAGGTTAAGTCATGTTTATTCTAAGATAACGACTTTTATTTTGTGTGTGTGTCTCTCATACTGTGCCAGTGAGGAGTTGCACAAAAGAAAACTAGGAGGGAGTGCAGTTGGGACAGATCACCTGAAGTGGCCACAGGGATATTCCACACCACAGAACACCATGCCAAGCATACAAACTGAGGAAATTACCCCAAAAGAAGTATTGTGCCTCACTTGTTTGTTTCTCCCCCTTTCATTATGCATTACTATTATTGTATTTTACTTTGTTGTCAATTATTAAACTGTTCCCATCTCAACCTACAAGTTTTACTTTTGATTCTCCTCCCCATTCCACCAGGGTGGGAGAAGATGGGCGTGGGCATAGCATGAAGTTGTGTTGTGCTTAGCTGCAAGTTGGGCTTAAACTGCGACACAGGCAGAATTCATAATTTTTCCTGAAGAATGGGCACAAGAATCAGTGGAAGTGACCCTTCTACTGCATTTTAACTGGCTTAAGTTTGGTTTATACTGGGTGCCCTCTTCTTGAAGTGGGAAAGTCTCAACTAACTAATATACATTCTTAGGTCCAGAATTCTTGAAGATGCTTTGGTCTTGTTATTATATCAGAAGAGTTCCTTGATTGCTTCATCCTAACTTCATGGTGCATTTTCTTCTAGTAAATTCTGCTATATTTTTAACACATCATAAAGTATTATACTTTCAATCAACTCCCACCCATTGAGTCTGATTATGGGTGAGATGACAAACACCCATTTGCTTCTAAACACCAGGAAAAATAGTAATATCCCAGCACAGTGACACACAGGATCTTAAATGCAATTACCACAGGACACACTTCATTAGGTTTGGCAAAACATCAGTCTAACCAGCAGAATGATTATAAACCCAGACCACCATGCCAAGATGAACAAGAGAGCACCTAACATGTGTGGTGCCACCTAAAAAGCATTTTAACCACCAGATGGTCAGAAATAGATGGGAATTGATTAACTCCAAGAAATATGGTTAAGGTAAACAAAGACAATAGAATGAAAAAAACAAGACTATTTTGAAGTATGCAATTCCTAGTTAGTTTATCAGCTGTGCTTGAAATAGATGTTTTGGACAGCAAACACCTCCATTTATCATTCTCTTAATCTTCTTAAAAGAGTTTCTGAAGACATTTGTTTTATAAGTTTGTGCTCTCTTAGGGGAATACTAAACAGCTCATCTCAAACAGCTTAAACACTTTAGTTCATTCTATCCAGCCTATGAGTTTATTGTACTTCTCCATATCCAATTTTTAAGAATATACCTGGGAAACATTTTTGAACACTACCTGTGTTTCAGAATGTAAGAAAAAGTTTATTCACACAACAGCCATTTGTAGTACAATCAATTGTTTTTACAGTAGATATAATGTACAAAACATTGCAACGCACGTAAGCCCTATCCCTATTAATAACTTCAACTCCAGAACATTTCAACTTCTCAACCCATAGGAATTAAATATATATATATTTTAAAAATCAAAGCAAAAAATCCACTGGGACAAAAGCAAGATATCCCATGTGGAAAACTGGTTTATGGTTATGTTTATTTCCAAGTAAAACCATCTTTTAAAGATGATATATCAAGTTTTTATTTGAAGAGAGGTATAATCTCTTTATTCCAGAGATAATTTGGATCAGAACCCTCTGCTAGAAATTTCACTCCTTTTCTTTTGTTTGCACTCAAACTACAGATAACCACAATATCACTTGCTATTGTTTTTGAGACTTTGGTCAATCATGTACTCCATTAATCCAAACCCAAACTTAAGTTGTTTAGGGATGCTTTTCCATTTGAATTTCAAATAAAGCTGTTGTCTTAATATTTTTTAAAGACATGCAGTCATATGCAATCACAGTGTATTGTCTACAACACTCAATATAACTATTTTTGGGAAGCTCTAAATGCTGTAAGCTACCAAACATCATGAGGACAGAAAAGAACTTCCAGCATCAATGCTCATGGAGCGGCTTTATGCAGCCTATTTCACATTAATGGTAGCAGACCCTTTTCAGGTTTCAAATACTAATAGCCTTATAAGCTTCAATTTCCGCAAGCTAAACACTTCAAAAGATTTAGTATTCTACTTATGAATTCATTGTTCTGCAATTCATCTAAAGTTGTTTCATTCCTCCTCGCATAATTGGCAGATTTAGTTTGGTGAATCTGCTCAAGATAAAGTAGAACTATTTCACATGTCAGACAAGATTTCCTATGTATAATGGATACCATGTCATTTTAAAGAACATGTAAAATCAGTATGAATTATTTGCAGGGAAACCAAATCCACTGTGGTACAGAGACTGCACAGAGACTGAATTCCTGTTTCATAGACTATTTGAGTTGCACCACTGAAGAGTGCATTTTCAATACCTGAAGTAGCAGTGCAAATGTCCACTTCCCTACTAATAATCTGAAACTCTGTCTACCCTCTTCAAAGCAGGTATTGTAACTTAGTCAGAAGCAGCGTAAAACCGCTGTTTTAACTTCTGGTCATAGAAACTAATGCTTTTTGGCACCTGGGAAAATAAGCACATTCACATTAGCCTCCAGCTTTGGAATCTATATGGGTGTTTCCTCCTTAGTTGTGTCCATATAACCAGCTTTTAAGTTCAATGGTAAGATTCCCACAAAGCCTCCAGAACAGGTCTCAAAAATTGCACCCTGTGGAGTTGCAAAGAGCATCTTGTATGCATTAATGAGTTTTGACATCCTGCCAATTACAGGCCTAACAAAACACCTCACTGTATGTATATATACAGACACTAGAGTAAGCTTTAGTAATCAATGACTATAAAAAAATAACTTTTCATCTTATTCAAATACAAGCCTTTGACCTGTTTACAGTTACTCCTCAAAATGTTGTTCATAAGTTAGTTTCAGTGCAATGACTTAACTTTTAACTATATAGTTACAAGAAGGCTCATTAAAATGCTAAGAGGTATTCATTTTTATGCAGAAAAAAACCCTAGAAAATAAAGCTTCAATTCTGCTGTAACTTATTTTAATTGGTAAAGTATTTGCTATATAGAAGCCTTAAGTTTACTGTGGATGGTACCTAGATTGGGTAATTCAAAGCCCCCAAAGACTATATTTGATCATTGCCTTGGGTAAACTTATTTTTAAATCAGAGAGCCAAGACAGCCACTTTTTATTCTTAAACAATATTGAATGGCAACTTTAATTTAGCCTTTTTTTTAACTCTGACATAGACCAATATAAGCACTCTGCATTAAAACTCAAATCTTAAACAGTAGTACAGCATTGGGAAAAAAAAGCAGCTCAAATATATTTTCCCCAGATTCAGTATTTCCATTGTGTCAAGTCAACATATAAAAACCTTCAAAAAAAAGTTTCAAAGTTTATTCTCCTCTTGTGTAAGTATAAACAATCT